GCAACAGCGAAGAGCAGCCCTGCCTAATTACGCGGCAAAAAGCAAAGAGCCCCGGCAAGGCGATCTGGATCGTCCCGGACGGCTCCGTGCAGCCTGTGTCGGGCTGCCCGCCCAAACGGCCTTTGTGAAATTCCGCCGCGGAGTGATCCGATGGCATCGCACCGACTTGCACAACAGCGGCGACAGCGCGGCCCCATTTGACCGCGCCGTGTATCGCACTCACTCACTGTCACACGCACGCAAAAGTCGGGCTGCTGTGATCCTCTCTGAAAGCCGGCGAAAGAAATTAAAGGCTTTAGCACCAGTCTTAACTGAAACAACTAAATTTTTTTAAAAAATGTTTCGCTTGTAGGGCAGAGGCAACGAGCAGGGCGAAGTACCCGACACTCTTTTCATTTTTATTGTTGTTGAGTTGCTGTTTTTTTTCATCGTTGTCATAACCGCGAGCAGCGTTTAACGCGCGCTGCAGTCTGTTAGTACTATTGCCGTTCCACTAAATGCCCATACTCGCTGGGTGCGCGCTGCAGCCTGACGGACGGACAGACACTCAGTCGGTGCGATGGCGAGACACACCCGCCGCCCTTGGCCTGTGCGCCGCTGTGTGCGCCCTGGAACCTGCAGCCTGGAACTCGACTGGCTGGATACTTGCGTCCACTGCAAGCCTCCAATCAAAACCTGCCGCGCGCCGCTTGTCGATTCCTTCGACGGCCTGCCTGCCTGCCCCAAGTGCGTGCTGCGTTTCCTGTGCGTACTGGCCAACGGGTCAACGCCAAAACACTGTCGCAAACTCGATTTATTTTCTTTTTTTCCAGTGTTTCGCCTGCTTTCCGGGAAAGCGCGTCGTGCGTGGGTGGCCGCCGCGGCCGCCGCGGCCGCGTTGTCTGGCAGTGTACGCGCGAGCACGCCAAGCGAACGCCAAGAGCCTCTATGGGCTTAAAGGGCCGTGCGAACCTCCTTTTGTTTTTCCTGCCTCTCCTCCGCCGCCGCTTCCTCCTCTGTGGAAGGAAAGGAAGGGGGAGGGGGGATGCACTCGCGGGCCGCGGCGCCGGGCCGGCACCGCCCGTGTGGAACACAAGGCTGTAAATAAGTAGTGCGTTTGTCGTTATTTGCACGGTGAAAAACGAGAAGAAAAGGATCAAAAAACGACAAATCTACGACACGGTTTTACGATAAAATAACGACAAACAAGCCGGCACTTGGTTGTCGTTTGAACGCGTGTGAATTTGTCGTTTTTTTATACCTTGAAGTGGTCCGTTTTACCATTTAAAAAACGACAAAACGACGGTGATCCAAAGGCCAGCGAGCGAAAAGAGAAGAGCACCTGCTGAGAGTTGAACCGAGGCTCTTGCACACTGATGCGTCTCTGGGACAAGTGTTGTACAGCTCCAAGCCACTCGGCCAAAGCGACTTGTGGATGTCGGGGAGCATCGACGCGAACTGCTACGGCTCGCGCTTCCCGCAGCGAATGAGCTTTTCACTGAGACTGGGTCAGTTAAAAACTTGGCCAAGATCGTTGCTAGAGTGGTCACTTTTCTTCTGCTGGATTGAGTTGTAACGCCAACTGATTCAAATCCCATTTAGCTTGAAGTGCAGACTCTGACAGATTCGCTGCGAGAACATGCTTAGGCGGGAAGCGCGAGCCGTAGCAGTTCGCGTCGATGCTCCCCGACATCCTCAAGTCGCTTTGGCCGAGTGGCTTGGAGCTGTACAACACTTGTCCCAGAGACGCATCAGTGTGCAAGAGCCTCGGTTCAACTCTCAGCAGGTGCTCTTCTCTTTTCGCTCGCTGGCCTTTGGATCACCGTCGTTTTGTCGTTTTTTAAATGGTAAAACGGACCACTTCAAGGTATAAAAAAACGACAAATTCACACGCGTTCAAACGACAACCAAGTGCCGGCTTGTTTGTCGTTATTTTATCGTAAAACCGTGTCGTAGATTTGTCGTTTTTTGATCCTTTTCTTCTCGTTTTTCACCGTGCAAATAACGACAAACGCACTACTTATTTACAGCCTTGTGTTCCACACGGGCGGTACGGCCCGAGCACCTCCGCGACCACGCCGCCACGCCACGCCGCCCGAAAGTGAAACACAAACAACAATACTCGCGGCGCGTCAATGGCGATGCTTTTCCTCACACTCGGCCACGCGGCACACTGTGCGGACTGCGCGGTGCGGTTGCGGTCGCCGGGGCGCCACGCGGCCGCATCAAATTTGATCGTTAATTTTTAGTATCATTGGCGGCGAGAGAGAAACGGCGAAACGGTAAAAAGAAGGCACAGAACGGGCCGATGCGCGAAGGAAGGCGCGTCGCGAGAGAGACGCGAGATGCCGCCTGCGGGCAGCGAGGTAGGCCGTCCCGTCGAGCACCGGTGTCGCCGTGCTGCCTGCCCGCCGGGCGGCGAGCCCCTGGCGAGCTGGCAGTCCCGCCACACGCCGGAGTCCGGCGGTGCGGCCCGCCCCGCGACCCGCAGGCGGCATATGAACGTGGGTGGATGCCGCCGGGGCAAATGGCGTGTTGTTGTTGTTGTTGTTGTTGTTGTCCGCGGACCATGCAGAACCCAAGCAGACGGCACTCTCCTACACAGCGCCGCTCGCTATGAGACTCTGAGTTGCTCCCACAGGCCGGCCGGCGGGCCATCGGTCATGCAGCCGACGTCGTGCGCGTCAGGCTGGCATCCGCGTTCTGACTGTGGCGGTGGTGCACCATGGCGGCCGCCTCGGCGCGGCGCGGCGTGCCAGATTGGACTCATTTCCAGCTTCGAGCCGTGGGGGCTCACCGTGCTTCCACTGCAAGTCATGGCTAGCCGACCGGGCTGGGACGGACCCTCCGCGTCTCTGCGTGGGGCCGGCGGGCCACGGTGGGAGATTTGTGTGATGCGCGTTGCTTTTATCTCACTTTCGGGGGGAAACCTTTCGTCTGTCTGCTCGGCAGTCTAGCCGGCCAGGTGACTCACAGACCGCCGCTAGACGCGGCGCGGCGCGGCGACATGTGTCGCGACTACACGTGAAGTGCTGACACGACTGGGCGCTGCAGCGCTTTGCAGCCTGTTCTCGCGCTGGCACTTCGCGGGGCAAGCCAGCGCGCCGAGCGCTAAGTGAATGACAGTAATTGCACACTTATGGCGTGTCTCTGACTGTCTCTGTCGCACACTGGCCCGTGTGGGCACCACCGTGGGCGCGGCCCCGGGGGGGCTGCAGGCTGCTTTCCAAGACTCCATCTGTCTCTCTCGCACCCCCACGCGACTACCGGAGTGTGCGACCGAGGCAGAGAGCTCGTTCGGAGCGAGCCCACCGCAGCACCGCCTCGCCTCGCGTTGTGTTCGCTGCCCTTGGTTTCCAGGCCGGCCCCCGAGGCGATCCCCACGCCGAGCCTCACGCCCTGCACGCCCTGCTCGGAGTGGGCCGCGACCGGCCGGGATGGGACGGACTCTGTTGTTCCGCCGGGGGTGCCCCGGGGCTGCCGCCAGGGCCGCGAGGTCGCCGCCAGGTCACCGCCAGGTCGCCGCCAACGGACGGCCCCGGCGGAGCGAGAAAAGGCTCATGGTTACTGTACTTGCAGCGGGGCGGCGGGGCGGGCGCGGACACCCGCTGGACGTGGTCGCCGTCTTTGCACGCCAAGGGCGTGGTGGCGGACGGGCGGCGCCCGAAAGGCCGAAAGGGGCCGCGTGATGGAGGCATTTTGGAGAGAGACGGCGAGCAACAAGTGGACGATCACAGCCTGCAACGCGGCCACCAAGTCACCAAGGTCCCCGACGACGCCGGTGCAGCGTGTGCGCACCAGGCCGATCGCGGGCCTTCTGCCTCTGTCGCACTCACGCGGTGTGCCGAAGGGGAGCGAGAGAGGCAGAACGAGGTTCGATGCATACGCAAAGCAGCGGGCACCTTGCGTCGCGCAACCGGTGCAGCATGCAGCACTTGCAGCAGGCGGTGGAAAGTGGAAAGTCCGGTGGCGGCGGCACGGAGGCACCAAACGCCAAACACCGAACGCGGCCGAACCGGCCGGCCGCACATTCCGGGAACCGGGCCGGGTGCGGCGCGGCGCGGCCACAGCATCCCCGTTGCGTCACGTCGTGGTCCTGGGTCCGGGGTCCAGGGTCCGCGGTTCGAGCCCCGGCCGGGTCCTTCCCTCCGGCGTGACGTCCCCGTCAGCGGGCCGTCGGCGGGCCTGCTGCGGTCGGGCCGGGGCACTTTAATTCGGTGTGACGAAAATGCCGCGAGTCTGATTCACTTCACTCGGCAGTGAATCAGGGAGGCGAGGCTCGAGTCGCATTGCTTTCCGGGGAGTCGCGTAAACGGGCGTGGCGGCGGCGGCGAGGCGGCGGGGCCACGAGGCGCGTTTCGGAAAAGTTAATGACAACGGTGCGGAAAATGAGTGAAAATCGCGAAAATTCGGGTGAAAAGGCGTGGAAGATCCTCGAAGTCCGATTGTGTTCGACGCCGACCTGGCCATCACCTTTTTCCACCGCGGCGTGGCGACTAGCGGCGCCACCGTCGGCCAACCGGAATTCGCACCTTTTCCCGACCGAAAAAAAAGTGACCGATTTCGTGTCTTGGGCGGCAAGAAGCAGACCGTCTTCATGCTCGCTGGCGCTGCCGTTTTTGCTCGCCGCCAGAAACGCAATGTTTGCTTCCGATCGGCGGCCGGACGACCGAGAAACTCCACAGGGGGTCGCGGGGAAGGGTCGCGCGGGGAAGGGTCAGGGGAGGGGTTGCGGGGAAGGGTCGCGGGGAAGGGTCGCGGGGAAGGGTCAGGGGAGGGGTCGCGGGGAAGGGTCGCGGGGAAGGGTCGCGGGGAAGGGTCAGGGGAGGGGTCGCGGGGAAGGGTCGCGGGGAGGGGTCGCGGGGTCGTTCGTCCGACTGAAGCTGGTGTGTACTCACGCGCGCCCCGGCCAAGCCACACCAGGGAAAGCCGGGGCGAGTTGTAATCCCGTTGCAAAGTAAATCCACAAACACTCGCACACACACGTCACTAGATTTATGCTGTTATTCCCGGGGCATTACCATGAGGACACACGAAAGAGACACTGGCGCGTTGACACACTGGTGAGGCACCGACACACACACACACTCACACACTACGCTGACGGGCACTACGCGACGAGCTCGCGGACGCGCTGGCAAGCAGCGAGGTGGCGCGGCGCGGCACGGCCTGTCGCTGGACGGCGTTCGGGACGGACTGGACTGGAGACCGCGCCGCGCACCGCGCTGGGCCCCCTGGGGCTCCACGGCGCCGCGCCCCACCGCAGCCGCCGCAGCCACCTGCCGCACCGCGCCGCCCGCCCCGCCCCGCCCGGCAAGTGCACGCCGTGGAGGCGCGCGCACCACTCTCACCCGAATCCGCCGCACGCCCCCCACATCCTGCCGCCGATTCCGCATAGCGTCTCGTCGCTGTCTCTCTCGCACCCCTGCCGGCATGCTGTCGGGTGCTGCCCACGAAGACGGCATGGGTGCGAGGCGCTGTGCGCTGGCATTCCACGGGGCAGCCCGGACTGCCTTCTGCATACGCCGCGCGGCAAGCTTCGAGCCCCTGCCAGGGTCGTAGAGCGGCAGGCAGTCGCGACGCAGCCATGCAGCCCCAGGAGGCGGCCGTGCGGCGGACCAACGAACGCCAGCAGCACCACGGCCGGGCCTTACCAGAGGAATGCTTTGATCTAGTTGAAATGGCTTCTCGAAGCAAAACGGACCATTCTCCCTCCGGCCTGTTACGACGACGCTTGTCGTAAACACACGGAGCGGAGTGCGCCGAGCTGGTGTCCTTAGGGTGCTGGGCACGGCTGGGCTGGGCTCGGCTTGGCTGGGCGCCGACAGTGTCTCCGATACCGCGCTCCAGTACAGGCCGGTGCCGGCGCGCCGGCGACCAGGAAAAGGGCTAGTGTCCGGAGTCCGGGGCAGTGACCGCTAGAGCCGCCGATAAAAACAAAAACAAAAACCGAGCGAGGCGCGCCGCGAGCACCGAGCGGCCACCGGCCTGCAGCTAAGCGCTCTGAATCTCTGAATCGGATTGAGCCGCCTGCCGCATGGAAAACGGAGCCCGATGCAGACTGATGCCGAGAGTCGTTTTCGTCGCTGTGTCTCTCTCGCACCTATACAGGACACCCCCATGAGTGCGAGGGAGACAGAGCGGTAAAGACGACTCTCAGAATCAGTCGGCTGGCGGCCGGTGGCCATTGGCGACAACCAGAGGGAACCGAACGACGGCTCTTTTGGCGCAGCGGGGAGGCCGAGAAGGCGGTGGTTTTTGTGGGGAAACGCGCTGTTGTTGTAAAGGAGAAAGGACGCGATGACAGGTGGACGTGTGTGTGTGTGTAGGTGTGTGTGTGTGTGTGTGTGTGTGTGTGTGTGTGTGTGTGTGTGTGTGTGTGTGCACTGGCCTCGCTCTGGCATGGACGCTGGGCTCGACCCGCAGCGCTCTGTCTTTACTCTTTACCCCGTGAGTGATGAGGCACGGCAGGCGAGGGCACTGGTAGTCCCGGCCGACCCTGACCAGGAACACATCCCGTTACAGTGGACGCCTTTTACGCGCTTATCGAAAGGCGTGTGTGTGTGTGTGTGTGTGTGTGTGTGTGTGTGTGTGTGTGTGTGTGTGTGAGAACAAGTCAAGGTCATCTCCACTCTCCGCTTTGTGTGTATCCAGTTCGGAAACAATAATTCAAAGCGGCTTCGCCGTCCTGGCGGCCTGAACGGTGTACAGCGTCGTCCTTCCCTGCCTGTCCTGCCCGACGATGCATGCCCCTGCGTCCAGCGCGTCCAGCGCGTCCAGCACACAGACACGCACTCGCCGCCACTTTGTACATTCAGCTGCCTCCATTTTCCACAGTTTCACCGCGGCGCAGCGGCGCGGCGGTGCGGCGGTGCGGCCAAGTCGATGATGTCCCTGGAGATCTGACAATAGGCATCGCGCAAGCCCTGGGGGGCCTCCTTGTGGAAACCTGCCGCCGCCAGGAGGGGGGGGAGGGGGTCCCCAGCGCCCACCACGCCCATATCCAGCCGGGGAAGGGGGAGGGGAAGGCAGTCAGGTGCCGCAGAGATCCTGTTGAACCACTTTCGATCGCGGGACCGCGGAGGAGGGGAGGGAGAGGGCGGGGTGCCTTGGGTGCCTGACGGCCGGAAGACTGCGGGACGCGAGCCACCCGCGGGCGCTGCCTTGGCGCTGCCTTGGCGGTGTGGTGGACGGCGGGGACGGACCGGGGACCTCCCCTCGCTCGAGCACTTTCTCATGCGTCACCTGGTATTGCGAGGCAAAGTGACTCCACTCCACTCTGCCGAGAGGGCTGTGCGCAGCGGGCCACGCTGCCGACACACGGCCAGGCCGCGCATGTGTCTGCAAACAGTCACTTTTCGCTCGGGTGTTCCTTCGCCAGCGTCCGGGCGGGGTCGGCCGACCCCGCACCACTCGGCAGCCCCCCCCCTCCTCACACACACTCACACGAGGAGACCAGAAAGGTGAGGTATTTCACAACAGAGGCAATCTCCGTGATCAAACCGCGTTGTTTAATGAAGCCCCGGCGTGAATGGCTGGCCTGCCAGCTTGGGTGTTCAGGCGAAAGCCTTGGCGATGGCGGTCTTTGCCGCCTGTTGGCCGGCCGCCCAGCAGCCTTTGGGTGCCTAAGCCCGCCTAATGGGTGCATCAAACTGGCCCACCTCGCCCCGCCCGGCACTGCCACTTAAAGGCTTCCGACAACCGGCTGCGGCGGGGCGCCAACCCGCAACCCGGCGACCATGCAGGGCCAGGTAGGGATGTAAGCTACTCCACGAGGCGCGTTCATCGGGACACCGTCTTAGCCCTGGCCGCACTGTGCAAGGGGCAGGCTGGCAGGCTGCTCCTCAGGCTGTGCATGGCGACATGGCGAGGCGTCAAGCGTGGCGGGCCCGGGCAGGCCGGCCGAGGCCAGAGCAGCGCGTTATGGCGAGTGAAAGTGTCGCAGTGTCGCGCCGATCTAATTGCTTTAATTACGATTTGACGCGCACGAGGCGCACGGTGCAGCAGCCTTCCGAACGGTGCGCTCTGTCTCTCTCGCACCCCCTACGGAGCACGCAACGCCCCATGAGTTCGAGAGGACAGAGCGGCACTGGTTCGAAATCAGCCTGGCTTCGACACAATGACGCAGGCTGCTGGCGTACTGGTGCGTCGTCACGGCTGATTTTGGCCTCATTTAATTTTCCATCCCGCGGCCGGCTGCGTTGGCACGTCGAGGCGATACCCCGCGCCCCTTCGCTCGAGGCGGGCCGAGGAGAGCCGTTCGGCGCGCGGGGTATCGCCGTTTCCACTCCACTGGCAATGGAACCGCCACGTCCGTCAATACTCCTCGCGTGCCCGCGCATGGCGTAAGAGCCGCGGGTTCAGTGACAGTGATGTCGGTCTTGGAGTCCCCGGGCAGGCTTCTCCCTCGCACTCATGGGCGGCCCGCGGTGGCGCGCGGCGACGGGGCGCCGTGCGGCAGATGGACGTGCCCGGTTATTATTGGCGGCGTGCCGGCGATGCGCGTGTCCCCGCGGACGTGTCGGCCGGAGGGGAACACAACGAAACACATGCATTGCGTCACTTTGAGCGATCCCTTTCCGAGCGATTACTCACAGCGGAAGACTCAAGACTGAAGACGCGCTCGACCATCCATCTATCCATCCATCTATTCGGACCACTGCCGGGTCGGACGTGTCCGGAGTGAGGAGCGAGCGGATGGAGACTGGGACGCACTTCCTCCTCCCCCTGTCTCTCTCGCACTCCCGGGTCGTCACCGAAGGGCCCGTAGGGGTGCGAGAGAGACAGAGCACCGCGCCGAGGCCCGCGATTCGGAAAGGAGATCTCTCCTAGGCGCGGAGTGTCGGCGTGAATGGAATCCCAGAAATGCAGCGGTGTGGGGACGCAGCGCGCAGCATGGCGCAGCGTCAGTCGCCATGGAGCCACGCCGCGTGCGGTTTAGCCGTTTCTAGGAAACGCCGCGGCGCGCCACTGTCGCGATGGACAGAGGGCTGGAGGGCCTGGAGGGCCGCGAGCAGCCCCAGGGGGAGGGCGTGTGCGTGAGGCGAGCGACACCGGCAGCGGCGACAACGAAAGCACTTCCTGCACCGCGCGGCGCGCGGCCGGCGTGGCCGGAGCGGCCCCGATCGTCGGGCGGAACTGCCGCGTGCACTGCTGCACTGCTGTCATCGCGCGGCCTCATACACTGGCTGTAAAAGCCCGACGAGCCACGTCACAACGACAAAAACAACAACATCAAACTGGTGCCGTTAAACACGCCCCAATGCTAACCCCTTTTCTAACCTAACCGCCGCTGCAAAAACAACAACAAGACCGTCTTTACGCATTGGACATGATCACCTGTTAGCGTTGCGACACTGGCATTCTTTCGCCCGCAGCACTGCAGCGCGGTGCAGGTCGGCGCAGCGCAGTGCGCGGAGAGAGAAGGCTGGCCACGAGTCGCTTTTCGAGTGTACATATCGTTTGTCCGACCTTGTTTTGTCCGGCCTGGCCAAAATTCACCTGTCCGACCTGCCTCGAAAAAGGGCCAAAACGGCTCCCAGCGTGTGTGCAGTGGGGTGGGGGCTGTTACCTACACCGTAAACTTGAGTGTGAGTGTGTGCTCGCGTGTTTGAATGCGTGCTACATCACAGAGAGGCCCTGAGCGGCCGACGTCCTCCGACAATTATTTCGTAATGAAACCTCGGCGCTGCCGCTGCTGCTCTTTGCACCCCGTGCCCCTCGACGCCGTCGTCCTCGCTGCCGTCCTAGCCGTCCTCGCCGTCGTCCTGGCCGCGCGCAGCGCAAGGCATCAGTACAGGTGGCGGAGGCGCAGTGCCGAAGTGCGATAGAAAGTCGATTCGTCACGCGTCGCGTCGCATCGTGCGCCTTATGCAATATGCAGTGTCACAGACGGGCTGCCTCACAACACAGTCACAGGGGCAGCGGGTCACAGCCTTGCCGCGCATGTGTGTGTGTGTGTGTGTGTGTGTGTGTGTGTGTGTGTGTGTGTGAGCGCGTGCGCGCGCGTGACCGCACATCAAGAAAGCGAGTGCGAAGACCAGTTGCATGGTCGCATAATACCGGCGCTGTCGAACTGGAGCAGTGGCTGCGAGTGGCTGTCGCGGCCTCCAGCTCAGCCCCGTGCGAAGTCGCTGCCGCCTGTTGCCTTCATCCACTCCAGGCGTGGCGAGTCAGTTGCCTG